ATATTCAAATTTAATTAATTTTGAATATTACTTCAATTATAACTTTTATGATTTATTTAATAAACTAACTTAACTTAATTTTATAAAGAAAGAAAATAAATGTTATCACATACTTGATTATACAACACTTATTATTTATAATTAAATTAATAATTTTATAATCTTAATAATAAAAAATGTTTGATAAAAATAATAAATTTTATTAATCATGTAATTATAATAGAAATTAACATTTCACTTAAAATATAACAATTTAATTAAAAATTATATTAAACAACCATAAAAAATAATTTTTTGAAAATCTTTTTAAAAATTTTTTTATCCATAAAATGAGCGAAATCGATTTAAAATTAATTAAAAGACAAGTTGAATATTATTTTAATGATGCAAATTATTCTAAAGATAAATTCATGAATGAAATAGCTATGAGATACAATGGATACATTCCATTAGAGACTTTGTTGACTTTTAAAAAATTAAGAAGTCTTAAAGCAACACCAGAGCTTGTAAAAGAGGCAGTTAAAGAATCTAAAATAGTAAAAGTAGACGAAGATAAAATTATGAAGATAATAACTGAAGAATATTTATATTATAAGTCTAACGGCGAGGCATTTATTAGAACTTTACTTATAAAGGGATTTCCAATTACTTACACACTTGATGAAATTTCAAATGTATTAACAGATCCTATACCACAGAGAGTTTCAATGTTAAGAGATCATGATAAACAGTTTTCGGGTTCATGTTACGTTGAATATGGTTCTTTAGAAGAAGCTGAAAGTGTCTTAAATAAAGAAATAACGATTGAAATAATAAAAGAATCTATAGAAACAGAAGAAGAGGAAAATACGAAAAAAGCTAAGAGTACTGAACTTATTAAGTTAGACATTTCTAAAAAACCTAAGAAAGATAAAGTAATGAACTTCAAACAAAAGAAACAGGAATTGGCGCTTAAACGTATTAAAAAAGATTTTGAGGGTAAAATTTATAAAATTGAAAACTTAGGAGAGAAAAGTATTCTTGAGGTTAAAAAGTTAGTTGATGGTGTAGCTTTTGTTGATTTAGAAAACAAAGTTTTAAGAATGAAGTATATTAATGATTTTGATGAAAAGGAATTTAGTGATATTAAATTAATTAAACTGTCACCTGATGAATGTAAAGAATACATCGATAAACTTGATATTAAACCAAAAGTAAGAAAAGGTAAGAAAAGTTTTAAATAAAATTTAAAACCAAAAACAGATTTTTGATTTTTTTTTAATTTAAAATTATAACACGTTCACTAAATACTTTTTTAATGAATTAAAAATAAGTCTTTTAATTTCATAAAGATAAAATTTATAATTAATTTCAATAAAAAAGAGTGTATTAATTATTAATTAATAATCTCAGTAGAAAATTTTAATTAAATCAAAAAATAACATATATTTTATTTATTAATCATCTCATCAAATTAAAAATAATACAATAAACTTTTTTTATTTAAATACTTATGAGTATTAAAATGAATAAAAAATTTTCTAATAATACAAGAAGAAGCACTAAATTTCAGTTTACAAATTTAATATTTATAAGATCAATACAGTTTTTAATATTTAAATGTAAATGTGACTATTTTATTAATATATTCTTTTAAATCTATAAAATTTATACTACAAATATAAGAGTTTGTATACTTACGATACCTTTAAATTAATTTTAAACTACTAAAAATAAATAAAATAGTATAATAATTGATTAAAAGTTTTTTGATTTTATTTGAAAAGTATAACATAATCAAAAAACTTTTAATTGATTTAGAAAATTTAGTATTCAGCAAATTTACTTTTTATAATTGTATAATAAAAATTTAAATTCCTTAAATGTAAATTAAAAAAGTTGATTTTCTAAACTAACCGAAAAAGATAAAAGTAAGTTACGATAATTATAATTAATAAAAAAATGTTGATAATTAGTGATCAAACACTATAGAAAACTTTTGTCTTTTAGTATTAAAAGTTTATCATAGGTTAAGAAATAAACTTTGTTTATGTTTTTTCTCTAAAATTATTAAAACATTATTTGATTCACTTTACAAAATATAATTTAAGAAAAAAAACATAAAATGACTTATAAATATTACGTAATTGATAGTTTTTAATAAAACTTTTTATTATGTTAATTCATTTATTTTTATCAAACTTACATTCTCATATATTGAATAGTAAAAAATCTTTCTATTAAAATATACAAATGGTTTTTTATTTACAAAATTCTTTTAAAAAAACTAAAATAGTTTATTTAAAACACAAGTAAAAGTTATATAAATTGAAAGATAAATTTTAATTAAGTTTTAAATTAAACTTCCCATAACCACCCTTTAAAACCTTTTTTAACTTATATAACGTCGAGTAAATAATAAGTAAATTAAGGCATGCTAGCATTAGTAAGCAGAACATAAAATGTTTCATAGAAAAAGTATAATCAGAGAGCAGATTAAAAGGTACAAATAACCTACGAATTTTTACTAATCTTGGAGAATGTAAAATATTATCTCTTAAATCAAAAGTACATGCTCTCCAAATAATCCTATTTAATATACTATTGAAGTAAATAAGAATACTTGAAAGTATAAATTTGATTATTCCTGATAATAAATAAAATTTCACTGTATTAAATGATATTGATAAACCTAAACAGATTAAATAAATAAAATTAAGTGTTAATAAATAAAAAATTATAAGGACTGATAACATCTTCAGATTTCTAGTGAAATATATAAAAGTGATAATATCACAAATAATCATAAGAGTAAACTCTCTAATTGAAATTAAATAACTTGCAAGTAAATATCCAACAACCCCAAAATATCCTTTCCTGTATTCAGCTTTGTGTTTCTCAATTGATTTATAAAATAATTTAAATTCAAATAGACTTAAGAAAAAAAACCTGTAAAATAACAATGAGCAAATAACTAAAATAGGATTTTCATTCCATAAAGATTTGTATGGTTTATTTAAACCAATAATATCATATATATTACTATAAAGATGATATTTAAGATTTAAACATAACATCTTTTTTTTAAGGTAATTTTTATAATTCTTATTTAAATCAGAATCTGATGATATATATTTTTTTAATTCTCTTGTAAGTTGAACATTTTCAACAACTTTACTGCTTAAAAAACTATAAATGTTAGGAATGATTATTAAAAGAATGTTAAAAAAGAAATAAAAACTATATAAGTTGCACATTAACATGGTTGCAGCTTTTTTTATCATTGAGAATTTTTAAATTTAGTTTTAATAGGTTCAGTGTATTCAATTTTCAATTCTTTTAGATTAAATCTCCAACTCATGACAAGTAAATTATACTTTTTCTTTGCATCAATAGTCAGAGTATCTGAAAAATCTTTTTCTAAAGTGATTATTTTTAAAAAGAAATCTGAATATAACATTAACTTTTGTTCATTAATAAATCCTATTGATGCAAAATACTTAATTGCTTCATCTTTTGTTCCTTGAAATACAATACTGCCATTAGTCATTAAAATAAACTCATCAAATTGATTAAATATACTTTCTGATGGTTGATGAACTGATAAAAGAATTGTTTTATCTAAAACAGACAACTTTTTAATTGCATCAAGTACTTTATGTGTTAAGAAACTATCTAAACCAGTTAACGGTTCATCAAGTATGTAAATAGATGCTTTGGTAGTTAAATTTGTTGCCATTGATATTCTCATCTGTTGATCTTTTGAACAACTCTGATATTCTTTTTCTTTCTCTTTTGTCAAATAAAATTCATTAATAACACCACTAGCTGCTTCCCTTGAGTTTTTATTGTATAGACTTGCTGTATACTCAACTTGTGTAATTACTGGTATATTTTCATACTCTGGTATTTTATGTTCATAATAAGCAATTAAATTTGATTGATGGTCTGAATTAATCAATTCGTTATTTAATAAAATTTTACCACTTACAGTTAAATTTTTATCAATTAATCCTGTTATAGCATTCATTAATGTTGTTTTACCACAACCTAATGGTCCTAATAAACCAACAATTTTTCCTGGTTTAACTGTACCTGCTACTCCTTTTACTAAAAACTTCCCTTTATCTGTTATAACATTAAGATTACTGAATGTTAACTGTATTGACTGTGTTTTAATTTTATGAACAATTGGTTTTATTTCTGTGGGTTCTACTCCAGCCTTCAACTCCTTCTTTACTTGATTCCAAGTGTATTTTAATCTTTCTTTTTCACGTTGACTCTCTAGTTCTTGTTTATCTTGTAAGTAATTGCTGATCATATGTAATTTATTAAAAGATGAGGGTTAAAAAATATTCCTTTTAAATTTTTTATTTCCTTAATAAATCAACTGTATTGACAGTTTTATCTGAAACAAAGATTATATAAGTATTTTGTTGATAGGCTTTCTATTTCTATTTTTTATCTTCTGTAAATCAATAAAATTATTAAAATTATCTTTTGTATTAATATTTTTATATATTAGTGTTTCACTGATGTGATTTTTAACTTATTTGATAAAATTGATTTATTATTTTAAATTTTACTTATATTATATTTATTTTATTGAAAATTAAAGAAATTGCAAAATTGATAGAAGATGAATAAACAAGTTTATTACTATCTGATATATCTTTGATGTTTAAGATTTAATTTTACTGTCATTGTCTTGTATCATATAATCCATATCTCTCTGTCTCAGTATTAATAACTCTTATGGGTTAAAAATTTTTTATTAAATAAAAACCCTCTTTTGGTAACTAACTCAACAACTAGTTTTAGGATTTTACGACAAAGTAAGAATTACTTTTAAGAAAAAAATTGATTTAATAGTTAATTATTTTCAATTAAAAAATATTTTTGATCTTAAATGATTTATTTATTCTTTATAAATGTTGTATAACCACAACTATCTTTCTAATATAATATACATTCATCTTTACATTATCATAAAATTATGATTATTTAGTATTAAAAGAACATATCTTATGATAAATTATTTTAATTAATCATTATTTTTGCTGTAATAAAAAAGGATTAATAAAAACAAATTTATTCAATCCACCATAACTAATTTTCTCTGAGATATTTCTCTATTACCACTTGCCCTATGTTCATCAATATAATCATCATCTTATCTTGTCAATTTTAATCGTTATTTTCATAGGTAAAAAAATATTTCTAAATAAATGATTTTTTTATAAATTAAATATAATTGTTTAAAAGTCTTATCAAAGATTTAAATAGTTCTAATTTGTAAATTTTACTATTTAAATATCATACAATCAATAATTAATGATGTTTTTATACTATTAAAGTGTTTTAAAATAAAATTTTTAGGATTAAATTATAAAAAATAACAACTTTGAGACATTTAAACCAATCTAAGACTATTCGCTTAATTAATTTTTATATCATGTTTATATAACGTAACACCCAGGGTATAAAAAACTTTTTTACAAAACACAACATAAAAACATCTTCATATTACTTTTAACAGAGGTATCTATAAAGCAATTGTGTTTTTAATGAACTAATAAAGAAAATTTGTTTAGAACATTTAATTTTAAATAAGTTAATCAAAAGATTTTAAAGAAAAAAAAACAGATAACATAAAAACAATAAACAGATAATACTTAACATAATTAGTATAGAGTTAGAACAAGATATAATTTACATATACTCTTTATGTATTTAAATAAATTTTAAATTACAATAATGTCTATAATAATTTTTTTAATAAATCAAAAAGATTTTAAGAAATTAGTGTTTTTAAAGATAAAACTATTAAAGTAAACAATAATTGATCGTTATTAATCAGTATTACTATTATAAATTTAAAAACGAAAAAAATTATTATATCAATAACATCACTCCTATAATATTATCTAATTAAAATATTATAATAGAAAATAAGATAAACCTAAGATATTAATTATTTAAATAATTGTATTGTAATCAACAAACTAATTTTTTATAAAAATTAATTGAATCTTATTTAACTAATTTAAATATAATTCTTTTTAGTCAAATAAGTTATTTAAGTTGTTAAATCTGATTAATTTATGTATTAAAGAATTTATTACTTTCAATAACAACAATTTACATAAATATTGTTTAAAGAAAATTATAGAATGTGAAGCTATAAAAATTAAATGTTTTTTAATTCAGCCAATTCTATGATTTTTTAACAACAAAATTAAAAATATTATAAATTTATTTGTTTTTTATTCCTAAAAATTAAACGTAACAATTTAAGAATAAAACAAACAATAGTTTAAATGTATTTAAATCTTATTGTTATGAAATGAAATAGTTGATTTTAATATTTTTAAGAGATTATTTAATTGTAAATAAATTTATATTTACCAAATTTGTTTTAATAACTGTTAAGAAGATAATGATTGAAACTGGTGAAAAGGGTTAAGACAACCCAATAGAGCAACTAACGTAATTAATATTTATATTATTAATAAATTTTTATTTTTACATCCCGCTTTTTATTTTTTTAAATTTAATTGATTTTCTTTTTTATAAAACACACATCAATTTAAAAAGCAAATGTTTTTATTTAAAGCACATTATCAGGTTTTTAAAAATAAGTTAATAATCCACATTCAAACTTCTTATTTTATTAAAATTAACTCTACTTTCATTAAAATAAAAATGTTATTTAATAGAAACAATAAAACATAAAAGTATTAATTTTATAAAAAAATCAAACAGAAAATACAAAATAATGAATGACAGTTCAATAGAAAACAATGAAAATAAATTTACAATTAACAACGATTTAAAAGAAGGAGAAGAAGATAAACTTAACAAACAGGAAGAGGAAACAGATAAAATTACATTTAAATCAGAAAGTTTAAGTTCTAAAATAATGAATGCTCGTAATAGAAACAAAGATGTTCTGGGAAACAAACGACCACAAAATGATAAGAAAAAAATTAATAGACTTTCTTTTTGTAAACGTGAATCAATACCATCATCACAACCAGATCCAAATCTTAAATTCAATATAATGAAATCCTGTAATTATGAATTTCCTCGTAACAAAGGACCTATAAAATATCAAATATTTCATTTTTATGATACTCCAAAAGTAATTAGAAAAGAAATCAAGAATGGATTTAACATCAAAAAGACTTTAACAATTATTTCTTCTAAGATTTTAAAACCAGAAAGTGAAGAATATAAATCAGTGTCTATGCATGTAAAATCATATAAACCTATACCTCAAGTATTGGATTATAATGATAACAGTGATCAATATGAATTTTCTAATGATATTCAATCAATTGATGAGTCAATTTATAATACTGAGAGTGAAGAAAAAGATTTGGTAGTTAATAAAGAAGAAGATAATTTATTAGATGAAGCTAATGACTCAGAAGAAGAGGTAGCTTTTATTAAGAGAAATACACAGAAACCTTATTTTAGTACAACTGATATTCCATGTGAAACACTTTTAGATCCAAAATTATTTATAAACTGTAGTTTATTTAAATGCCCAATGAACAGTAAAATTAAAAAGGACATCCTTTATTTTATTAAAGATAAAGAAAACATTGACACTCATTTTATTAGTAATGCTTTTAATGTTAATGAAAAGGATGTTAAAGAATTATTTAGCGTTTATGATTAAATTTATTATTTTATTTTATTTTATGCCCATATGAACACACGAGAGATAAAAGAGACTGATCAAACATTTGCTAATAGGTTATTAACAAATCCAGAACTTTATACAGAAGAAGACACAGAAAGACTTATTAAACTGTTGAAAGAGGATGTTGGTAGTTTATCTACAGCTGATTCTGAGAAGGTTGAAAGTATCATGGTTAGGAAAGAAATCCTGGTATCAGCTGTTAAGAATTTAATAGAACATAAGCTTAACAACCCAAACACTCTTTATGATGCAGTTTTAGATTTACTGTATATAAATCCTAATAACCCTACAGATATAAATACTCTTTCTAAAGTCAATACAATGAAAAGGAATATATTTGAGTTAATAGTAGATATTGTATATAAAGTTAATTATACCAATCAAAAGCTTGAAACTTTTGTAACTGAAAAGATGTTACCAGATGAGTTTTCTATTAATTTTACACCTATCATTAGATCATCTTTTAAGTGTTATGAATTGACACTTTTAAATCAATTAGAACTAAAAGATCATTTAGTTAAGGTTATTGAAACATATCAGAGAAGTATGAGATCGTGTGTTAAAGAAAAAATTATTAGTAATTTAGTGCCTAAATTAAAGGAAGAAACAGATATTAAAACAAAAAGAATTATATTTAAGATATTCTTTTTAATTAATAATCAACCTCATGATGATTTACTTGAAATTAAATATGATAACAGCAATGAATACATTGGATTTATAAGCACACTTATTCATGATGAAAAATCCACAACAATTGCTTATCAAAAGTTAAATCATTATTACAGGAAATTAACAACCGCACTTAATAACTTTGTTCAATATTCAAAGGTTAAAGAAAAAGCAATTAAACCCGAAGATCAAGAATTAATTCATTTGGTTTTACTGACAGTTAGTAAGATTGTTAAATTTAAGAAAGAGGTTTGTCTTAAGTTTATTGGAATATTACAAGATGTGTTAAAATACCCTTCTACCCCTGAAATTAAAGCTGTTACTTATGACATTTTAAGTGAATTTTTAGTAGAAAAAGAAATTTTCATTCAGTTAAATATTAACTGTAAAAAAGAAATTCAAGAGGAATTAGATAGAAAATCGTTTATTTTATTACCAAGTGTAATCAAATTTATTAATTTGTATGAGAAGAGACAAGTAGGCGAGAAAAAGTTACTAGAAAATGGTTATTCAATTGGATCACCGTATTTAACAGTTGATGAGCCGGTTGATGATTACAAAATGTTGGCTTTAAAATCAGAAGATTTTAAAACTATGAAGGAATGTTTAAGTGGTAGTGTGTCAACAAACATGTTAAAGATGTGTTCTAGTTCAATAAGGAATGCATGTTTAAAAAATTCTAAAATGATTGAAGAATTAATCAATTATCAAATAAGAAATAACGTGGCAGTTGATGATATTATTCTTATTAATTTGATTATTTCCTATCCAAATTTAAATTTCTTTAAATACGCAAGACTATTTACAGATTTTAGTTTCTATATTAGGAAAGAAGTTTTAAATAGAATTTCTGAAGATATCAAAGAAGGAATTACTTGGTTGAATGAATGTTACACAAGAGAAGTAGGAGAATTTGTAATAATTAACTGTATTTATTTTAATGGACTGTTAGAAAAGAATAGAGATATTCAACCAGTAATATTAAAACTTTATTCTAAAATATTAGACGATAACATTTCAAGAGTGAGAATTTTGATTAAACAAGAAAAGGAAGAGAATTCTGCTGTTGATACTCTTTATGTTTATGATGACCAGGACTTAGTTAATGAAGATTTCTTTTTGATATTTTCTAAACAATTAATTTACTCAACTTTCTATAAACAAGGACAGGATAATCAACAATTTATATTGACGAAAAGTTATGCAAGTAGTGGGGTAATTAATTATATTAAAACTAAGATAGTTTGTAAGTTAGATTATGAAAAAGATGTTAACTATCTAATTACTAATTTAGTTGATATTGATGAATTAATTGGTTATTTGAAGATTGTTGATAGTGATAAGCAATTTAATTATAAAGTAAGAAACCCAACAGTTTTAACTGAATTCAACTGTAAGAACTCTTCTTATTTTTTAAAGAATTTTAAGAAAGCTTCTCAATTAGAGAAATTCTTATTATTTTTTTCAATTGATGAAATGAATCTTCAAATAGAATCACTAATTAAAGCAGAAGTTTTATGTAACTTGAAAACAACTAATGAGGTTTATTTAGAAATGTGCCTGTTACAGTTATTTAGGTGTAGTGATTTAGATGGAATGATAAAAATACTTGAGAAAAATTTTAGTAGACATTCCTTGTTTGCTAAACTTGCACTTCATAATCTTATTAAGGGTGGTAAATATCTGAACAATAATATTATTGAATTTGCTGATAAGACAACAGAAGCAAGACTCCTGTTTATGGCTTATTACAACAACATCTGGGATCGTGATAAACTCACACAAATAATTGATAGTATGGATCTTCATTCAAATCATGAAATAAATAATTATCTTAGTGAGGTAATTAAAACTAGATTCTAATAAAGATTTTATTTTAATGTTTTCTTTTTTTATCCCAATTGTATCTTTCTTTCAATTTATTTTCTATATTAAACTCGTCTAATCTTTCCTTAAAACTTTTTTCAAAAAAGTCATTTTGATTTTTTAACAAATTTTCATTACTTTTAAGATTTTTCATAGAAAAACCAGTTGATTTCCGTGATCCAATCAAAATTAAATCAGTTGCATGCAATCGTAAAACATGTGAAATTCTTGGAAATAAAACAGAAAAGTCTTTAACTGTTTTAGGTTTAGATTCTATAAATGTTAAAACCTGCATATCAGTCATTACAAATTCTTGACTTTCATTTGATTCTTTTGCTAAAAATTCTCTAAATTGAAGTACTTTATCAAGATTATCAATTTTATAATTAATATCTAATTTATCATTAAAATCATCAATCATATCATCAATTGACTTTTCTTCTAATCCTTGATATTTTTCAAAAGAGATATTAGAATTTAATTCAAAAACGTTATCGTTTACTGAACTTTTCATCAAATTAATAAAAATATCATTTAAAGGTCGTATTCTATAATCAAATAGTGAAACATCACATTTAATTTCTCTTGGTAAATTTATATAGCATCCAATTTTACCAAAATCTCTTTCAAGATATCTAACACATTCTCTACAATGAATTATTTTATCAACACCACAATTTAACAACCGTAATTTAGGCAAAATCATCCTAAATTTCAACACATCAACAATATACAATTTTCCTTTTATATCCAATAAAGTCATCCAGCATATAAAAGGATTATAAGTTCTATAATAATGACCGAATATTTCTATAAACACCGTTTCTAACTGTGAATCTATCTCAATTAACATATTTTCATCTTTTATAACAACACAATCACTTAAATTTTCAAACCTAAATGAATGCTCCTTTTGACAATTACAATTACTTTCAAGTTTATTAATTTCTGGTATGTGAGGTTTAATAATGTTATAAGGAATGATGTATCTTAATTGGTTATTTTCAGTAATATAAATTGCATCATCCGGTGTTTTATTTTCTTGTTCAATTAACTCAAATAAATTTCGAACATTTGTCTCAGAGTCTTTTAATTTTTCCGTTAAAATATTTATTTCAGTGATTAATTCTTTAAAATCATCACTTGTTCCATTGTTAGCATTTATTTCACTAATAACTTTATTTATTTCAGATAAAATAGTCTTTGCTATTAAAGTAATTGACATAAATTTTATGGGTAAATTTTTAAAAATTTATTTACATTCGCATTGTTCTTTGTTTAGAGGCATCTTCAACTATTTTTTCTTCTTTATAAAGACCTTTATCTTTAAGAATGGTTGTTATGTACTCACTAAAATTATACTCTGTTATTAAAAAATCATCTTCAATTCCTTCTAAATAAGCAGTTCCTTTACTTTGTGTATAGATTTGATCAACTGCTTCCTTAAATAAAAATTGTGGTATTTTACAGTAAATAATGAAAAAGTCGTTCTCTTCATCATAAACTTCCTCTTTTATAACGTAGTATAGCTTAGGTAGTAGTGTATAAATATTTCCTAAGTATTGAGTAGTTATATAAATTTTAGTGTCATAATAAAGTGGACAAATTGATGGGTTTGATTCTAAGAATGTTTCAGTAAGTGCTTGTTTAAGTATTCCAAAAAGTGAAACTGATGATCCTCTCTTGATTTCTATGGTTATTTTTGTTTTAATTATACTTTCTCTTATTAAAGGACCTTCATTAACAAACACTTTCAAAGCACTATAAGCTACTCCATATCCACTTGATACATGCACTTCTAATTCATCTGATGGCTCAACATTTATTAAAAAATCATAATTGTCGGTTATGAATTTTTTATAAGCAGTATTCCTAGCAAATTCTTTAAATTTTTTACAGTCAGAAATGATTGAAAATTCTAAATCGTTATTTCTTAAATCCTCACAAATTTTTTCAAATTGAACAATTCCACAGCATTTAATTTCAAATTCATTGTATCTGTTTTTGTGAACTTTAAGTGAGTGTTCTAAAAGTCCCAATGTTTTTAATGATTCTTTAAATTTTTCTAAATTTTCGTTTGATAGATCTTTTAATCTTATTTTAGCTAAGTATAACGGAAACAGATTTTTTAACGGTTTTTTATGACATTCTAAGCTAGTTAATAGTGAGTCTTTTAAAAAATCACCTTTTAAACACACTAAAGTATTTGGCATTGCTTCATTAGTTTCTATTAAATCTTCCCCTGTAAAATTAAAAATTTTTTCAACTTCAACCTTTTTATAACCGTTACTTGTACAACAAAATACACATTCACCTGTTTTTAGCTTATTGAATATTCTAGTCACAAAAACTACATTTTGCCTTTTAAGACTCGTTTGTTTCTTTAACAGGCAATATGTTGTAATTCCGTAAATTGTACCTTTAAATTCTTTTTCAATAATAAATTCAAAAGGATCTCTATCAACATTCATTAGGCAAGAAATAGAATTGTTTATAGTTGAACTTACAGGAAATATTACAGAAAAATAATTTTTTAATGTATTAACCTTAATTTTATACTTTTCTTTCAATTTTTCTGTATCTCCATCAATTATTTTTTTATACAACAATTGAAAAGCCTTGTAGGCATTTTTAAGTGTGTTTTTCTTACTTGCTTTAAAATAATTAAAGTTAACTGCACCACAATTTTTAGCTGTACACAATACTATGTTGTTTTTACTCCACTGGAACACTTCTTCTCCAACAAGATTATTAATCTGATAAACCAATGATTCAATTTCAGAATACTCAACTGCCTTGTCTGCCTTATTCAAAATTAAAACTGTTTTATTTTTATCAATAAATTTGATAAGTGAAACTGTACGAGGCATTATACCCTCTGCAATGTCTATCACTAAAATAAAATTATCAGCTAAAAATGATGCAGAATGAATCAATGCGCCAAAATCTACATGCCCTGGTGTATCTATATAATACTCACCCTCTATCTCTAAAAAACTATTTTTAAGAGTAATACCTCTAAGTTGTTCGTCTTCTCGAGAATCTAAATATCTCATTTCACCGGCTAGTGTTGATGGAATATAGTTTTTACTTGCTAAAAAGCTATCTACTAATGTTGTTTTGCCGTGATCAATATGTGCAACAATTACAGTTATATTTTTAATCATTCAATAGTAGTATTTAAAAGATTTTGTTTTTATAAAATTTCTTGTTTTATTATATGTAAACTTTAAAAAATTGTATAATTGGGGTAGAGTGGGAGAGTGGTTAATCCGCCTGTTTGCTACACAGGTCTCTTTATGAGTCGTGGGTTCGAATCCCACCTCTATCATTTTTATAAAAATTTTTAATTTGTTTTTTATTTTGGAAATCACATTAATTTTAATAGAAAA